AGAGTTAGTTAAAATACCTGATCAGCTGTGAAAATACTAAATGTAAGATGCTATCCATCATTGCAAAGGTAATGTTGTTTAAGGACTGTATATGGACATAAGCCCGATCACCCACTGGTATGTGAGGTCCTGTTTTGAAACCTTACCTCTATTTTTTTTTTTTTTTAGCATTTTGGCTCTAAAGTGTAACCATATGTTATCATGTTGTTTTAGCTCACATTGGTGTTTTTGCCACTGCAGGTCCATTTTGTCAATATTGGTCATACTATGATCAGAAAGAAGGGTTATCTGATGTTTGCACATTGGCTAATGACCTGTGATTGACAAGTGATTAACCAGTGTGTATGCAGTTTCACATTCAGACCCGCCCATCTCTCGTCACACCTGGCTTCAAATTACTCATCTTTATATTTCAAAACATGACTTCAGAAATCGATGGATGACATCATGGTAGCCAGCATCTTTGGCTAGCTTGCTTGTCATGGTCATTTCCCATAGAATCCCATTTTAAAAGGTATATCTACAGCCTGCTAGAGAAAACGTATTATTATGCTACCAAACACACACACACATCTGGTAAACAATTACTCAGCTTTGTCTCGCTACCAATCTGTTGTCGTTAGGATGAGAATCGCTATCACGAGGACATCTTTGGTGTCACCCTGCGCACCTACGAGGTCACCAACCGTATTCGTTCAGAGTCCATAGCCTACATTGAGGAGAGCAAAAAAGACTCAGATGAGTAAGTGTTCTACATTTCCAGTATTTTTTGTTTCTTTTCACATTTAGTATGTTACAAAACTGTTCTGAAATGTCAGTAAAAGTCAGAAGAAAAATATTTTTCATGGGTAAAATAAATGACTGATGATTCACTGTGAATTCATGCTAACTTCTAATTAATCATGAGGAAAGGCTCTGTGAAAATCAGTTCTTTATTTAATATTAAGAAAATATATAAAAATGTATTCCATCATCAAAAAAAACAAACAAATAAAAAAACCAGAAAAGGATTCATATCAACTATTTTTCTATTGATCATTCACTCATTCACATCCGTACAGTAAAATCAGGACCAATTACCACTGTGGAAAAGCCCATTCATATTTATTTCAATATTGCAACTACAAGAGCAGCTTTATCTCAGAAACATTTGTAAGTCAACTTCAATCTGCAACCTGTAGTTGCTGGCGACAACAATGTGTTGTCATCACTAGCTTCAGATGAAAACAGAGCAGGTAACCATAGAAACCTGTGGAGAAGTGCATTTAAACTAACAGGATTAGAGTGAAAGCGAGTGGCTCTGCTCCATTTCTGTTTTTGTTTCCAGCGTTATTTGTGCATATTCAAGATTAGACACTTCATATACCCTCGCTATAAGAGCAAAACAAGGGCCCTACATAGCCACTATGGCTCATTAACCACCAACAATATGCATCACAGACGATGGTTCCTGTGTGGATTGTCACTTGAATTTCACATTCGGCCATCAAAGCCCCTGCTTGCTGGATGAGTAATGACTGTAACATCTCTATTTCCATGTCCCTGTTGCTCTTTCTGTCTGTCTGTCTGTCTGCCTGTCTGTCTGTCCTTCGGACTTTTTTTCTCTTCAGGGTTTTCTGCTCGTAGGTCGATGAATCGACAGGCTTTCTGAAAACAACAAGACACAGCACCGCTGGTTTACTAATACTGTGCCAATTTTTGTACTGTAAAAAATGGGTTTGTTTGTGTTCTTTTTTTTATATACCATTTTAATGTTTCTGTTGGGCTCTGCGATCTTGTCTGTAGCAAGTTGGAAATGTTCTGTTCTTTGAGAATCTGTTTTGCTTGTTGATGATACTTCCAAAAATGATCTAGTGTAATGACCTGCCTCATTGTGAATGCATGACCAAGACAATATATTCAAGAAATATAATATACTCTGTGTTATTGTTACTGTTAAAAGGCTTTTATTGGGGTTTTATATTTGCAAGGAAATGTGTGGCATAGATAGTAAACTTTCATTTCTGTGTGGATTAAGTCAACTTTACTTGTTGGGAAAGTATAAGGACTGCTCAAATATATTTGGACTGTTTTTCATTGTCAATATCAATCTCTTTAGTCCTTGACTAAGAAAAAGAAAAGATGTATAGGCATGCAGACAGAGAAACTGAAGGACATGTGCTGCGGACAAATTTAACGTATTGACAGGTATCCCTGAATAATGAAAACATAAATTCTGCCACTGCCTCCATAAACAGATTACCTTGCTCTTCATTGGCAATTCTTCAAAATGCATCAGCCTCTGTGCGAGTGCCATTTTTCTTAGTGTGCTCATTCTGCCATAACATCATAATCTTTTGGGTCCCAGGTGGTGTTTGCTGAAACTGCAGCACTAATGTGCAGGGCAGCCACTAAAGACCAAACGTGAGTCGATATATCTTAAAAATAAACTTCAATGATAAACTATTAACAAAAATATAGGTCTTGAGGGCTTTTTAATTTAACATCTAAATCATACTATGTTCAGTGTGGTATAACGTGTTATAATGTGTTCAATTATAAATGTCGCGGAGGATTTTTTAATTTTTCATCAGCTGTTTGGAATAAGCTATAGAGTAAACAACTAATCGGTGAGTAAATTAATAAGTAACAACTTAAAGGAATTGTTCGATATCATGGAAAATACATTTATTCACTCCAATAGGCTATCTCAGTGGCAGCTGTTTAAAACTTTGTTAAGATGTTGCAAAGGTTGTCCAACTAATACACAAGTCTGAAGAAGAAACGTATTCATGGGTACCTGATGTCCAGAATTAAAATGCTGCTGATATCAACAAATTGGTCTAGCAAGGCTGTTCTCCCCATTTCCAGGTCTTCTTACCCCTAATTGCCCATAAATCAAGTTTACTATTTTTACACTTTGGTTTTTGTACAGAATAAACTAATTAAATATAACATGTTACTCAGTGAGCTTTAATCGTGCCGTATTTGCGACCTTTGTAGAGAGCCTGTTTCCAGTCTGTATGCTAAGCTACACTAAATGGTTCTTGGCTGTAGCTTTGTATTTGCTGTAAAAACACAATATTGGTATTGATCTGTTCATTTTATTCTCAGTAAAATAGAAAGAGCCTTTTCCTTAAAACTCAAGTAATCCGTAACAAAACGTTGTTACTGAAGGGGAAAAGATGCTGCCCAGTTCGTATCCGACAGCTGTCAACTTGCTCCACTTATCACCTATTGAGCCTTTAAAATATCTATTTAACAGCATCATATCTCCTCTGCCTCTTGCCTTACATTGACACTTTGCCTACGTTTATGCATTCATCCTTTCAGTTTTTTTCTCTGCATGTTTGTGCTACCTTGTGGCTCACGCGCCACCCCTTCACTGTGACCTGACACCTGCTCAACGGCATCAGCACGCATGTGTGTATGCATGCATATGTGTGCCCTTGAAATTATCATAAGTGTGCGCATCTCTATATACGAGTGGGTGTAAAACATGCATGATCTCAGGTGTGTGTTTTTACATGATTATTCTACTTGTCTGTTACCTTGTCAAACTGCTCTGATTTTTAAAATAAGCATGAGTACCCTGCTCTGAGTCACACAAGCCTGCAGATTTAATGTTACAGATGGTGTTTTGGTAACAGAAAGCTGCCCACATGGCTTTTAGTTTTGATCGCAGCAGTTCGGTTCTATTGTTTTAAGTTCCAGCGAAGTTTCATCCAGAGACAAGAGGCAATCACACTGCCACTGTGGTCATTTGCTGCTTTCCAACGAGTCAGGGTTGTAATTTGAAAATGTATGTGCAGGGGCCACATTGTTTTTTTTGATCACCCACTTTGCATTAACCTGTGGCTTTTTCTTGTCAGCTTATGTGTCTTGTTTATTCCCTTTCTTTGTCTTTATTTCAAATTAAAGATAGCTGTTAGCATGACTAATTGATTTCATTGTGATTTTTAAATGTCCCTTCCAGTTGCTGAGAGTACTTTTTTGTTTTTCTGATTTTGCTATGTTATAGGTGGGAGATAATGGGTGGGTCCTATTTTCCCTGCTGTTGTTCATTTTGGGTGAATGTCTGCTCTGACTTATTTAAACACATTTAGTTGAACTGGAATGAAAGCTGTCAAGAAAATGTCTGTTATGTAAAATGTGCAAACAGAAAAGAATATTATATATAGCTTCTATACATATATATAAATATCAAAAGACAAAGTATAAACTATAAAAACTACCACTACAATCTTTTCTAAGAATGTATTTTGATTATGTAAATGAGCACTTTGATTCTGCTTGATTTAAAAGGAACAAAAAAAGGCCTATTCTTTGTTGTGTCTGTCATATCCTTTAGGTATGAGGGTAAAACAGCAGCATTAAACAAATGCATGATACTTTGTCTCCTGTTCATATTTAAAAAAGCTCTGTCTCTTTACCAGCACTGTGTCAGTTAGTGAGACTGTTTTGAGCTTGTCTGGCCTGTCTCACAGGGCCCTGAACTGTAACAACTTTGTTGAGAGGTTCTTATTTTTCGGTGTTTGCGTATCGCTGCTGCTATGAACAACTCTGATCCAATCAGCCTCTGCTATAATGACCTTTGTTGTGTACTTAATTGAGGGTATTCCATTTAATGCATCAGCTGCAAGGACTTTGCATTTACTTACAAATAAAGAGAAACATTTACAGAATATGTAAACACATTTGCTTGGTTTGTTTTTCTTGTTTATATAAGAAAGAAACCAGAGTGGAAAGGTTTATTCAGCCAGTAGAAAGTGTTTAAGGTTGAGGCATTTTAGTTCGGGGGTTGAGGTGCACAGTTTATGAAGCAAACAATCCATTTACTTCCCCCTCCTCCTTTTCTTCCTCCTGTAAATGTTGGTTGTCATGGTTGAAAGAGTCGGCACTCAGAGTACTGAGAGTGCCATGACAACCTGTCAACAAATCAAGCCATCCAAACATGACAAAAGAACTCTGATTGGTGACTTACAGTCAGGTAGTGAAGCCCTAGCCTTTTACCACAGCAGAGTTTGCCAAGACCTTTAAGTAAGCTCGGTTGCGAGAAGACATAGTGCACCAAATCCTGCTGAAATTCAGTGCAGTGATTGAGCTCACAACGCAAATATTTTACTTGCCGTTTGGATCTAAAAGCACAAAAAAAGGACAGAAGGAAAAAAGAAAGAAATTACTAAGGAATTTCTGCATAAAGGTAGCAAAATAGTTGTCTTAGTATCAATATTACAGCTATTATCAGTGTCATGCTTCATGGGAAGAAGTTGGCCAAGCAGGTGCTGCTGCCGTCTGTGCTGGAAGACGATGACGCAGAAACAGAAAGTGGGAAGCTGCAGCTGGGGGAGGTAGGAAACCGACTATGCAGCCAAGTTTGCAAACTCTTGAGCAAGGGAAGTGTGAACGACCAGGTAGGTAAGATTAGATTCTTAAGACTGTTCAAAGGCAGAATTTCAAAAAGCTCGAGATTAAATGAGATATAGGAGAGGGACTTTGGGTGAGAACTGAAAGCATGTTATAGACCTGTAAGAGCATAAAAGAGCATAATAGGTTTTAGAAATTGAGATCTTAACCAAATCTCTAGGCACGTCTAAGCACTTTCCTTGCCCTGGGCAAGGAAACACAGCCTCAAACGTACAGACTAAAGACCTGCTGCTTCCTTTTATAGACTGCTCTTTTGACCTGTGTACTCACATGAATGTATTTAAAAGGAGGGCCTCAAAGTCATGTCCTTGTATTTTAATTACACTTTTGGGTCCCACTGTATGAGAAATTCACTATCAGAGCTGTGCCCGAACATGTGCAGGACCTGTTTTGCTATGCTAACTAATTCTACTTATGTATTCTGGAAATAACAATATAAAGCATCACTGACTGAGACATATGTGAATGTGCCATAAGCTTAGAAATAAAAGGAGTGAAAGAGAGCAAAAATAGCTTGTGGTTCAAGAGGTTAAAGAGAGGTGGGAAGAATGGAGTGGGAGGATAGGGAAGTACTTTCAAAGATTATAAAAACAGAAGGATACGATCTTAAAGACACAAGCCCACACTGATGAACTAAACACTGTAGGTATTGGTTTTATTCTCCTGGCAGTAAAATCAATCAACTCTGCTCACACAGGCTGCATACAACAGACAGGTTTGACGAGTCACGATGTCTTACTTTCTCATTTTCCATCTAGCCAAGAATGAGCCAGACAGAGGTTGATATGCGTGGGCCAAAAGACCAACACTCAAGCCCTGACAGGAACGTGCTAGACGGAGGCACAAGACACGAGGAAGACGAAGAAAAGGAGCCTGAAGTACAGGAGTGCTTGAGCTCTGATGAGGACTATGATACAGATTTGGAGCTTGAAGGTATAATTTAATTTTGGCAACCGAAAGGAGATCAATTGGGTTGGATAGTTACAATATTTTATCATGTTTTGATAGCAAGTCTTAATTTGCTCTTGTTCACACCATGTAAGATAAGGCAAAGCCCTCTTGTCACCCATCTGTTTTTTTCCTATCTGCCTTTCCATTTTCTCAAACACCAAATGACTTTTAAAAAAAAGACACTCCTACATGCACCCACCCACATATGTGGAGTCCTATTCTGCATGTTAATGATTTCATCTCAGTCTTTGTGTCAGGCTTCCTTTTCACCAGAAATGAAAACCATCTGGTATGAATGAGCTTTCCTGACAGGGCAAAATCAACAACAAGAGATATTTCAATGTCCCACTCAAAAGGTCCTTCAATGGGAAAATGTGCAATATCACTCCTTTTTACACAAAAGGTACGGAGCGTGAACGACTGAGACAGAGTGCTGTCTTTATGTTGCAGGTAAGGAGGCGGCATACGATCTGACGGGGCAGACATGCTACATGACAGCGTGTAAAACGTTCCGGGTGGTCCCTGCCTCTTATTTCCTGCAGCATATGCAAAATAGCACGCTGGTTATGATGCATCGCGGCCTGGGGCCTCAGGTATAGTAAAAAAATAAGGCAAAATTATTACAATTATTAGAAAGACAAAAAGGCTGATACTTTCATGGAAGGCTTGGGAGTTTGAGTTTCTGGTGACAAAAGAAAAGATTGTCAATAGTGCAGGGGAAGATGATTAATTTCTTTATTCTGTAGCTCTTTTTCTCCCTAAATGTTCCTATTTTATTATTGTTTTAAGAAATATGTTTATTGTTAGTATTATAATTAATAATAATGCAATAATGATAATAATAATATTACCAACAAAAACATTAATACATGTTATTAATAAGCGCATCTATGTCAGGTAATTAGGATTACTGGAAACACCAGGGAACACAGCTGAACAGAATCTAGCTAACAAAACAAGAGAAGGAAAACTGAACATCGCATA